CCCTCCCAGGGAACTCTAGCCCCTCCCTGGGAACTCTTGCCCCTCCCAGGGAACTCTTGCCCCTCCCTGGGAGCTCTTGCCCCTCCCTGATAACTCTTGCCCCTCTCTGGGAACTCTTTCCTCTCTCTGGGAACTCTTGCCCCTCCCTGAAAACTCTTGCCTCTCCCTGGAAACTATTGTCCCTCCCTGGAAACTCTTGTCCCTCCCTGGAAACTCTTGCCTCTCCCTGGAAACTCTTGCCCCTCCTGGAAAATCTTGTCCCTCTCTGGGAACTCCTGCAACTCCCTGGGAGCTCTTGTCCCTTCCCAGAAACTCTTCCCCCTTCCCGGGAGCTCTTGCCCTTCCCTGGAAACTCTTACCCCTCCCTGGTAACTCTTGCCCCTCCCTGGAAACTCTTGCCCCTCCCTGGAAACTCTTGCCCCTCTCTGGTAACTCTTTCCCCTCCCTCGAAACTCTTGCCCCTCCCTGATAACTCTTGCCCTCTCTGGGAACTCTTAGCCCTCCCTGGAAACTCTTGCCCCTCCCTGATAACGCTTGCCCCTCTCTGGTAACTCTTTCCCCTCCCTCGAAACTCTTGCCCCTCTCTGGAAACTCTTACCCCTCCCTGGAAACTCTTTCCTCTCTCTGGGAACTCTTGCCCCTCCCTGGAAACTCTTGCCCATCCCTTAAAACTCTTGCTCATCCGTGGTAACTCTTTCTCTTCCCTGGAAACTCTTGCCCCTCCCTGGAAACTCTTGCTCCTCCCTGGTAACTGTTTCCCCTCCCTGGAAACTGTTGTCCCTCCCTGGTAACTCTTGCCCATCTTTGGAAACTCTTGCCCCTTCCTTGATAACTCTTGGCCCTCTTTGGAAACTCTTGCCCCTCCATGGAAACTCTTGCCCCTCCCTGGAAACTCTTGCCCTCGAATCTCCTCCTGGAACTCCTAACTCTTGCCCCTTGACCTGCTCTGAAACTCTTGCTCCTCCCTGGAAACTTTTACCCCTCCCTGGAAACTCTTGCCCCTCTTTTGTAACTCTTGCCCCTCCCTGGAAACTCTTGCCACTCCCTGGAAACTCTTGCCCCTCCCTGGAAACTCTTGCCCCTCTTTTGGAACTCTTGCCTCTCCCTGGAAACTCTTGCCCCTCCCTGGAAACTCTTGCCCCTCCCTGGAAACTCTTGCCCCTCCCTAGAAACTCTTGCCCCTCTTTTGGAACTCTTGCCCCTCCATGGAAACTCTTTCCCCTCCCGGTTAACTCTTGCCCCTCCCAGGTAACTCTTGCCCTCTCTGGAAACCTCTGCCGTCCCCGGTAGCGTACCTGTTCTCAGTCAGTGAACGTAGGATCGAGTCTCCTACACACCTTGTGTAGATGGGCCCACACGACTTTAGCGCTTCAGGCGTATATAAAAGAAAATATACTACGCTCTCCATGAAAATTTAGGAACGCTGTCAGAAAAGACATTCTGTGTTCCTTTTAGTGGACGGAGGATCAAGCTCGCATCGGCTTAAGGTAGCTCATCACATTATAGTAATAATAATAATGATGATGATGATGATGATGATGATGAATAATAATAATAATAATAATAATAATAATAATAATAATAATAATAATAATAATAATAATAATAATATTAATAAAAATAATAATAATAATAATAACAATAATAATAATAGCATATTATTATTGTTGTTATTGTTATTATTATTATTATTATAGTTATTATTATCGAAAACGAAAAACATCGATACTACTACTACTAATAATAACTATATTGAAAATAGTATAAAAATAATAACAACAGTGATAATAATAATAGCAGTAGCAATAATAATATTTTAATAATAAAGTAATTATGATAATAATAATAATAACAATAGCGTTTCAAAAGAAACTGGTGAAGGAAATGGTGTTCTCTTTCCTTGGATCAAACTTGATTATCTATTAGTTCCTAGGTATGGTAATGACTCCTATATGTTGAGAACCTTTGTTTAACTAAGACACATATGGTCAAGAACCTGCACATATGTAATTATTTACATATATATGTTATGTATTATATATATATATATATATTATATATATTATATATATATATATATATATATAATATAAATATATATATATATATAATATACTATATATATATATATATATATAATATATATATATATATATAATATATATATATATATATATATATATATATATATATATATATATAGTTATAAGGAAATAATGAAAGAAGGAGCAGTAATAAACGAAGGTGAAGAAGAAGAGCAGGATGAAGTAGAAGAGAATCATAAAAGTAGGAAAAGAGAAAATGGTGATTAAAAATAATTATAAGTTAATGTACTTTATAAAGTTTTAGGTGGGTAAAACCTCGTACTTGAGAAAGTTCTTTTTTTTCCGTCTTTATACCGCTAGTCAACTTCGACATACTTCTCTCTTTGTCTCTGTCTGTCTGTCTGTCTGTCTGTCTGTCTGTCTGTCTGTCTGTCTGTCTGTCTGTCTGTCTATCTATCTCTCTCTCTCTCTCTCTCTCTCTCTCTCTCTCTCTCTCTCTCTCTCTCTTTCTCTCTTTCTCTCTAGTTTCCTTTTCAGCTGCTATTCGTTTTGGATTAAGGAAAATTTCTTGATTATTCATTTTTCACTTTTTTTTTTGGTCGTAGTTAAAGTTGTTACACCGCTTTCTTTTGTAATTAAATTATGTTGCACTGCTATTGTTGCTATTTAAAGAAGTTGCTTCGTTCTTCCTGTTTCTCCTGTCAACAAATCTTCATCTTTCTTTCTCACGTCTTTTTAAGGAATGTGTTGGAACTGTATTTACACTAATTTATGGTCATAGGAGCCCCATTTCTTCTAATACTACCATAACTACCACTCCATTTCTATACTATTGCTGCTACCATTACTACTGCCTCCCTTCACCCTTTATTCCCCTTTCTCTTGTGCCACTAAACTACTTTCTCTACTTTCTACATTTTTTTTCAATTACTGCCTTCATTAACTTCGCTCTCCATGTGTCTCGATCTTCCCTAGTGCAACGAAGCATAGGAGGCCTGGTCACAGACCGGGCCGCGGGGGCGTTGACCCCCGGAACTCTCTCCAGGTAAACTCCAGGGAATATCAGTCCCTCGAGCATTACTTATGTTAAGGTGTGAAAAATAGTCGTTGTGAAAATTTTATGGCTTTGCTATTACTTCTACTGTTATTTCCACTGCCAGAATTACCACTACTACTGCTTCTTTTTCTTCCTCTCTTGGTCCGGTCCCTGTACCCCTCGGCTATATATACTGGCTCCCTCACTCTTTTGTGTTAGTTTGATTTTGTAAATGGTCCAGGTCGGACCGAAACGTCGTCGTAAGCTTTTCTCTCTCCTTCGTGCTGGTTATTTGTGTATATTGTGTGTATTATTTGTCACTGTATATAGCCATTTTGTCCTGCATGCGTCTAGTCTCATCCGTCTGTGCCTCTAAATTCTTCGTTACCTGGTTCTTCCTTAGATCCTAGCGAGCCCTACCATACCTATTCTTAATGCTATGTATAAAATCTGTATAGGTGTGTGTTTGTGTGTGTCTCAAGTAATACTAGCCTAAAAGAAAGAAATGAAGAAGATGGAAAATGAGGGAGAGAAGAGACAGGAAAGAAAAGAGAGAGAGAGATAAATCTTTCATAGATAAAGAGAATGGCTTTCAGTAAGAGATCAAGTTGCCAAATATATCATGTAAAGGCACTAGAAAGAAGGGGATGAGCAGGAAATGAAAGTATATAGTGATAAAGGAAAGGAGAGTCAGGAAAAGAGAACAGAATGTAATGATAAGTCTAGTGTAAAAGAACTGAGGGAGATAAGATAAGTTTAATGAATGGAAGTAAAGAGGGTGATGGAGGATGGGAGGGAGAAGGGAAGGAGAAAGAAGAAATAATAAGGAAAACGAATGATAATAATAATAATAACAAACTAAAATCTGACTTTTGCATTTCTTATGCAGAAATTTTTTGACATACGTATCTACATACATACATGCATAATATTATATATATATATATATATATATATATATATATATATATATATATATATATATATATATATATATATATATTATATTTATATATATATATATATATATATATATATATATATATATATATATATATATATATATATATATAATATATATATATAATATATATATATATATATATATATATATATATATATATTATATATATATATATATGAATAATACGAGGTAATGGGGAAAAGTAATGGGAAATGGTGAAAAATTGATGAGATTATATGGTAAAATTAATTATATGTTTATAAGCAATAACCACTGGAAAAAAAATATCTTCTTAGTAGATAATTAATCCATCAAGTTAATGGACAAAATATCCAGTGAATAGCAAGTTACAAGTAAGCTCCTTGACAAATTACCTACTTTATAAGTGGACAAAATTGTCCTTGAACTTTGAAAAATATGATCTTCTAAACTCTTGAAGGAATTATTTGTTGATCATTCTAAATAAACAGTAAATCAAAGCTCAAGAGAGCTGGTCATCTAAAGTCTAGGACTCTGGGCTCTAGATTTGGCCAGCTAAAGCCTTTTAGAAGTAACAGGATAGAGTTCCAATAAAAGGCCAGATGAAGTCTTGAAACTGGTTCACTAAAAGCAAGATGTTAGGTAAAGGTTCTACTAGAACCCTGGTCTAACATGACATTGGTCAGTGATAGCTGTTGGCAAATGATCTTTATATTGTTGAATTAGCGGCAACTATAAACCATAGCTAACCTATCTACATATGGAAAGTATGCCAACTATATCTATGTGCCTTAGACAAATTATGTTAGACTTTGGTGGCTAACTAGACCTTTTTGGTTAGCTAGAGCCCTAGACACAGTACAATGTCAGAGCTTTTGGACAAGTTATGGCTAACTAGACACAATCGGTTAGCTAGAAATGGACAAAAATGGCTAGTAAGGAGCTCTGTCTACGTGAGCCTCACCGTTGTACTCACTGTCTGCTTAGGAGCGTGGTCAGGATGGTCTTGCGACGCGTGAGAGTGGTCCAGTGTGGCTGCCTTCCGCTGCTCAGCCATCTTCTGGATCGCTAGGATGCGATTCTTTCTCATCTGGATTCTCTTGCCCATGTATCCCACGGCGGCATATTCTGTCGGGGAGGGCGAGAAGTGAGACACAGCTAGATGGGAGAGGGATGAGACACGGGGAGACGAGAGATGGATCAAAGGGATTGACGCTGAGAAAGGGTCAGGGAGCAGTGGTGTTCGTGGAAGATCACAAGACACGGAGTGAATAGTGGGTGGGAGGGAGGAGGGGTTAGGTCTGATAGTGGGCGTCTCAGAACAGTTGTAGAGAAAAGCTGGTGAGAGAGAGATCAGAGGCACGTGGCTTGAAAGGTGAGAGGATTAAGAGGAAGGTGAAATGGGTGGAAGTTCACAAGGGAGAGACGAGGAGACAAAACTGAGAGGAAGAAGGAGCACACTGAGAGGCAATTAGGAGACACGAAGGACAGAACTGCCCCAAGCGTAACGTTTGTAAATTTACAACCTGGATTACAAAAAGCCCTCTTACTCAAACAACCTTTTCAGACTCGGCCATTCTCAGACATAAAACTTGTTTCTCAGTGTCCTGGCGACAATAAAGCCATTTGAACGCTCTTCTCGGGGTCTCAATTGCCCGTGTATTATGGCAGTAAAAGTCTAGAAGTCAGAGAGTAGCGTTAAGGTTTATCACATGCCGCGAACCAGTGAATAAGGCACCCTTACCGACCAGGACACCATATGCAACCATCCTCCCCAATTGAGGATATACCTGATGGCTGACATTAAGGAAATGTTAGTCTGACGACGTCTCCTCTAGGGGGACTTAGGAGAAAGAGAGAGAAGGCAGGAGAGAAGATACTGAAGAAAGAAAATAGGAAAAAGATGAGAGGGATATAGGAATGAGAGAGTCAAGAGGAATGGGAAGAGATAACTCCCTCTTCCGTCTTTTCCACACACCATCATTATTCTATCTTTGTAAAGTAATTTTTGTTAGTATTCAGTTTAGGATAGTGGAGGATTAGAAAGAAAAAACGCCCATGGAGAGTGGAAATTCTCAGGACTGAGTGTATCGTTTGGATATCCTAGATAAAGCTGATGTTATAGTCTTCAGGGGCGTGATAATCAGACCTCTTAAAGTTGTATGTTCTCTGAAAGGAAAGTCGGAGTCGTTAAGGAGACTTTCCTGATTATAGTGAGCCATTAAGAAAATGAGACCTTACTAAAAAGACCTAGCTGATAATAGAGTCATTATGTGCGAAAGATCTTTATAAAGAGACGTGACTGAGAGGGAGGGAGGGAGCCTCAGGGTTCTCGTAGTAGCCAACTCAAGCCAAAGGCACTTTAGGTTGTAAGGCACATGTGTAATAGTTGGATATCTACATTACTTAAAGTTCCGCCTACACAGTAGGTTTCTTCAATCAAATACGGAGGCAGCAAGTGAAGCAGCGAAGATGCACATGTCTTACTCATCAACTTTTCAGTATTTTATACCATTTTCAATAGCACTTTAGTTAATGGGGTAAATACTTTTCTTTGTGGAAGACGGTAAATGTAATCCTTGTTTACAAAACAAAGAACAACAGTGCGATAAGGATCAACTACAACCTAACTTCTAAAACTAGGTAGTATATGCAAAATAACTGCGGTTATTTTGCATATATTACTATAATTGCATAAGGTACCATATCTAAGCCTACAATTCTCTGAACAAAATAGTTATTAAGAGAAGAGAACTACAGGAAGGGGAAAAAAAGCCTTTGTGATAAAGTGACCATTCTGAGGATAAATGGCTGGCTCTAGTTATTAAAATGTACTGGTCTTTCTTAAGAGATCTGACCGATTATAGAAGGTTTTTAGGGGAAACCTTTATTTTTTTAAAGAGATCTGGTTAATTACAGAGAGTCATTAAGAAAGTCATAAAGAGACTCATAAATAAGCATTAAGAGCGTCATCAAGAAACTTGGCTGATTATAGAGAGCTTTTAAGAAGAGCTGCTTTTTCCTCCTCCTTCTGCTCTTCCTCCTCCTCATTATCCTTCTGTTCCTCTTTCTTCTCCTGGAAAAGATTTAAGGCTCACATTGGGCAATAAGATACTGAGGCTCCATACACTTACAAACTTATTAAAATCCCACAAACAGCTTTAGTTGAGGAACAGAATGATCCCCCTTTTCCTCCTCCTCCTAGTCCTGCTCCTCCTCGTTCCTCTCCTCCTCTTCCTCCTCCTCCTCCTTCTCCTCAACTTACCAAGCAGGGAGGCGAACACCATAACGAAGCAGGTGCCTAGGTAGACATCGATGGACTTGACGTAGGAAATCTTGGGCAGGGCGGCGTTAGTAGAAGACATGAGGGTCGTCATGGTGAGCACAGTGGTCACGCCCAGCGATACTCTCGCAGGCGTGGCTGTGGGCGTGGGCGTGGGGCAAGGGGCGCACCAGCGACGGTGGGAGACGAAGGAGAGAGAGATAGAGAAGGAGAGAGATATCGTGTGGTTAGTTCAAATATCGTGGAATATTGTTGTGGGGGGTTGGTGTGGGAGATGGTGGTGATGGGTGCTGTGATTGTGGTTTATGGGGGAGGGTGGAGTGGTGAAGCTGTGGTGGGTGGTGTGATTGTGGTAGTGATGATTTTGATGTGCTTGCTATGGTAGTTATAGTGGTTGTCAGTGGTGGTTGATACTGGTAGTGATGGTGTTTGTGGTGACGGTAGTAATAGTGTTATTATTTAACAATGATAGTGGTATTAGCAGTGGAAGTGGTGACAGTACTAATAATATCATTAGTAGTAGTGTTGGTGGTAGTGGTAGTGATATTTACAATGAGAGCAGTGATAGCAGTTGTAGTGATGACGGTGGTGACCGTACATCTAGTTGCAGTAGTAGTAATGAGGGGCTGATTGTAGTAATGGTGGCGGCGGCAGTGGTAATTAATGTTTACGGTGGTACTAGTGGTAGGAGTGTTAGTGATAGAGTGATAGTGCTAGTAGTGTTAGTACTGGAATTAGTGGTAGTGGTAGTGATAGTGTGAACTTGATTTTTACAATATATAATATATATATTATATATATATATATATATAATATATATATATATATATATATTATATATATATATATATATATATATATATATATATATATATATATATATATATATATAATTATTATCACACTGGCCGATTCCCACCATGGCAGGGTGGCCCGAAAAAGAAAAACTTTCACCATCATTCACTCCATCACTGTCTTGCCAGAAGGGTGCTTTACACTACAGTTTTTAAACTGCAACATTTTATATATATATATATATTATATATATATATATATATATATATATATATATATATATATATATATATATATATATATATATATATATATATATATATATATATATATATATATATATAATATATATATATATATATATATTTATCACACTGGCCGATTCCCACCAAGGCAGGGTGGCCCGAAAAAGAAAAACTTTCACCATCATTCACTCCATCACTGTCTTGCCAGAAGGGTGCTTTACACTACAGTTTTTAAACTGCAACATTAATACCCCTCCTTCAGAGTGCAGGCACTGTACTTCCCATCTCCAGGACTCAAGTCCGTCCTGCCGGTTTCCCTGAACCCCTTCATTAATGTTACTTTGCTCACACTCCAACAGCACGTCAGGTATTAAAAACCATTTGTCTCCATTCACTCCTATCAAACACGCTCACGCATACCTGCTGGAAGTCCAAGCCCCTCGCACACAAAACCTCCTTTACCCCCTCCCTCCAACCTTTCCTAGGCCGACCCCTACCCCGCCTTCCTTCCACTACAGACTGATACACTCTTGAAGTCATTCTGTTTCGCTACATTCTCTCTACATGTCCGAACCACCTCAACAACCCTTCCTCAGCCCTCTGGACAACAGTTTTGGTAATCCCGCACCTCCTCCTAACTTCCAAACTACGAATTCTCTGCATTATATTCACACCACACATTGCCCTCAGACATGACATCTCCACTGCCTCCAGCCTTCTCCTCGCTGCAACATTCATCACCCATGCTTCACACCCATATAAGAATGTTGGTAAAACTATACTCTCATACATTCCTCTCTTTGCCTCCAAGGACAAAGTTCTTTGTCTCCACAGACTCCTAAGTGCACCACTCACTCTTTTCCCCTCATCAATTCTATGATTCACCTTATCTTTCATAGACCCATCTGCTGACACGTCCAATCCCAAATATCTGAATACATTCACCTCCTCCATACTCTCCCTCCAATCTGATATTCAATCTTTCATCACCTAATCTTTTTGTTATCCTCATAACCTTACTCTTTCCTGTATTCACCTTTAATTTTCTTCTTTTGCACACCCTACCAAATTCATCCACCAATCTCTGCAACTTCTCTTCAGAATCTCCCAAGAGCACAGTGTCATCAGCAAAGAGCAGATGTGACAACTCCCACTTTGTGTGTGATTCTTTATCTTTTAACTCTACGCCTCTTGCCAAGACCCTCGCATTTACTTCTCTTACAACCCCATCTATAAATATATTAAACAACCACGGTGACATCACACATCCTTGTCTAAGGCCTACTTTTACTGGGAAATAATTTCCCTCTTTCCTACATACTCTAACTTGAGCCTCACTATCCTCGTAAAAACTCTTCACTACTTTCAGTAACCTACCTCCTACACCATACACTTGCAACATCTGCCACATTGCCCCCCTATCCACCCTGTCATACGCCTTTTCCAAATCCATAAATGCCACAAAGACCTCTTTAGCCTTATCTAAATACTGTTCACTTATGTGTTTCACTGTAAACACCTGGTCCACACACCCCCTACCTTTCCTAAAGCCTCCTTGTTCATCTGCTATCCTATTCTCCGTCTTACTCTTAATTCTTTCAATAATAACTCTACCATACACTTTACCAGGTATACTCAGCAGACTTATCCCCCTATAATTTTTGCACTCTCTTTTATCCCCTTTGCCTTTATACAAAGGAACTATGCATGCTCTCTGCCAATCCCTAGGTACCTTACCCTCTTCCATACATTTATTAAATAATTGCACCAACCCCTCCAAAACTATATCCCCACCTGCTTTTAACATTTCTATCTTTATCCCATCAATCCCGGCTGCCTTTGATGGGATAAAGATATATATATATATATTATAATATATATATATATATATATATATATATATATATATATATATATATATATATATATATATATATATATATATATATATATATATATGCAAAACAACCACTCTGAAAGAATAGAAAAATTCCAAGCGCTTTCGTGACTACTCACATTATCAAGGAACTTGATAATGCGATAATGTGATAATGTGAGTAGTCACGAAAGCGCTTGGAATTTTTCTATTCTTTCAGAGTGGTTGTTTTGCATACTCTGAAATCACCTGTTTACTGTGATCTTATTGCAATATATATATATATATATATATAATATATATAATATATATATATATATATATATATATATATATATATATTTATATATATATATATATATATACTTATATTATGATATAATATTAAAGAAATAACGAACTCTATTTTAAAATTATATAAATATATTATCATATAGATGATATTAAGTCAGATCACTGTATCATACCATAACCAAGGATATGACAGCCGGAGATCACTGTCATATTAGGTACTGTCAACAGAAAATTCATTACGAAACATAGTATGATATTAGGTCAGTCTGTAAGTCCATACAACAATGGTACAGTTGTTAGTACCAAGGTAAACATGTTCCAATGTTAATGATTTACCTTTCCAAGCGAAAATTCTCTCAATAACTCAGTATTATCTGTCACTCTTTTAGTTTCCTCCTTTGTATATTTTTTAGTAAACAAGAGTATGAGAGAAAGGTTTAATGAGTTATTGCTTTTTGTTAGCACATCCCTCCTGCAATATTCAGCATTTTGTTTGTGTCCTTACTTACATATTTGTCATATGTAACAAATTATTAATGGAAAAATGGTTTGAAAGTGCTTTCTTTTTTGGTTAGCTTCTCACATGGCAGTCAGACTCTTCCAATATTGCATTAGTGCCGCTCTACTTAATCTATTGTAGTATTCATACCAATATAATAAGACAATAAATTTTAAGGCTTTTTTTTGTAGACTTTCATTTGGGATCTTAAAAATTTTCTAGATATCTATCTAATGGCAACCTATTTATCCTATTCTCTTCATCCAGAATAACACAGAAAACAAGTAAATTGTTAATTTTTTTTATAAAACAGTTTATATTTTAGAAATGAATTCTATAACAAACAGAGATTGCTTATGAATTTACTATTAAATGTCAAATTTTTTTTCAGAATTATTGTTAAAAATCGGCATTCAATAAATTTAGATTTCCCATAACAAGTCGAAACATCGGTTAATATTTTTTCATCAGTATTAAAATCGGTCAAAGATGATATCGGATTTATATTAATGATTTATATTACTTAAAAATGAGATGATATCGGAATTTATATTAATGATTTATATTACTGAAAAAATGAGATGATATCGGAATTTATATTAATGATTTATATTACTTAAAAATGAGATGATATCGGAATTTATATTAATGATTTATATTACTTAAAAATGAGATGATATCGGAATTTATATTAATGATTTATATTACTTAAAAATGAGATGATATCGGAATTTATATTAATGATTTATATTACTGAAAAAATGAGATGATATCGGAATTTATATTAATGATTTATATTACTGAAAAAATGAGATGATATCGGAATTTATATTAATGATTTATATTACTGAAAAAATGAGATGATATCGGAATTTATATTAATGATTTGTGTAACAAATTTCCTAATATCTAATCCTCTAAAATTGATGAAAATGATGTTTGAATAAAAATTATTGGTAATGGTTATAATTTTAACCATAATTTGCGAAGGGGTGGAGGAGTAAGCCAGCGGAAGGCCTCGATCAGATAACAAAAATCTTCAGCTGTGGATCATCATATCACTAAGACCCACGTCAGGAAACACTTGTACTGTTTCCTAACAAATCTTACCTAACCTTTGGAACAAATTTCTGATAGTCTAAGGTTACAACACTTACCAAAAAATTATATATTATCAGTAATAACGTATTTATAATTACTCAATGTTTACCAAATCAAATCTGTTAAGAATAAAGATAGAAGACGAACTAGCATAAAAAAGACAGTAGACTGATGAGCCATTTTGTCAACTGTAGATTACAGATACAAAAAAATAATGTGCATTTAGCGTTACTGAATACATGTTCAAACGCAAACCTATATAAATATGGTTAAGCTGGAATTTGTAGATGAATGGCTCAGAGAACCGACATGTTGATAAATTAGACAC